TTAAGAGTATAAAACAAAACTACGTCACTCTTTCAGCGATCGATCGACGATACCGCAAAACCGTCCATAAACCAAACAAGAGAGAACGTACCTGCTACTCGTGCAGCAGAGAATTCTCATTCATGTTGACTTACATCTAGAAAAGTATAAACTTCGAAGAACTCATCTGGGATTAATAAATTGTACAACAGCTTCCTAACATAGTTTTACATCGCTTTTCGATTTTACATATTGTATTCGAAACGCACGTATCAAACATGACCATACAAGTAGAAAATATAAACGAGTTACACGAAAAAAATCTTCGTGGTATTTTGTCCGTATTCACGTTTACTTATTGACACATTTCCTTCACCGTCGATCAGAATTCCGTATACCCACACAACGCACGGGTTCACCGGTTAAAGGGTTAAAACACACTTCGCTCGTATGTTCTGACCCGCTTCCTTATGCTGGTTGCTAATGTGCCTGATGACGTTCCTCTTTCGGCTAGACCGATAATCACAGAATAGACAAAGGAATCTCCTATTACCGCACTCGGTCCGATGACAGCTCAATGATCCAAACGATTTGAAATATTTGAAGCACTTCGGACACTGGTACGGCGTCCTTGGCTGCGGACCACCTGAAAAATTAGATAAAGATGTACTACTGTTCCTGTTTTGGTCTGTTTGCTTATGCCTGCTCACAACACTTGTCTGTATGCCTGTCCAACAGATCTGTGTCCAATAATCTAGAAAAGCAAGAGAACAATGTAGACAACGTTTCGATTGTCGTACCAGCTATTCTTTCCTCTGTTAATTTTAAATAAAAATTGTGAATGTGCGGAGAAGATAGAAAAATAGTATTAAATAAATAATTAAAATTAACAAAGTAGATGAAAAGAAAACAGAAGTAGGTAGTATTATGTGTGGAATGAGGAGAATACATTGGGAAATGTAATGTTTATTTTTTGTAACAACAGATAAAATTAAGCAAATTAATGATTGAAGTCGCAGATTCTTCATCACATTATGTACGTATTTATGTAGATATTAAGAAGAGACAAATGTTTAAGCGCAAAGCATGTTACATCGTACCGTACATCGTATTTCTTCTTCAATTCATGTTATCATCTGTAAACTTTGATACTTACATTTTTCTTGTATCTGCTATAACAAATAACACTCATAATGCCTATTTCTCGTACTCATTTCGATATTCATATAATAATCTCGCGGGCCATTTTATTTATACATATATACAAAGCTTATTCATACAACATTGACATTATCATTAAAAGAAATTAAGATTTTTATTATCCATTGTAGATGTTGAAATAAGATGAAGAGCGAAGGCATTTTCGTGATCTGTAAACTTGATCGTTTGAAAATATTTCAAACACTTACTTAACAATCCTCGTTACACCTTTAATACACTAAAAATTCTTCAACGAACTCATTAACCTATTGTCGACAATTGGTTAGTGGGTGAACGGCACTAACTGAAGTCAGGCGCTACCCACGCACCGAAGTTTTCGTCTTCCCACATGTTGAAGTCTCCGGACCTCCAGTTCTTCGGACGTTAAAGTCTTCGTTTTCTTACACGTTGAAGTCTCTGGCGTTACATGCGCCGATGTGTCCAGCTTCGGCTGTCAAGCAAATCTCTCGACTCGCTCGAACTTGTTCGTGTGCACGTTGTAGTGTCTTGAAAGGCTATGCTTGTGCTTGAATCTGGTATGGCATAGCTGGCACTCGTACTGCGCTTCCTTCCCGCACTCGAGCCTCTTGTGCCGTTGCAAAGATATTATCCTCTTGTATTGTCTGCCGCAAGTGTCGCAGGGGTACGTTTCGAAGCTAAAGGACAGCCCCTGCCAATATGCTGAAAACAGAAATACACGGTTAGCCAAAGATTCTCAAGATGCAAGATTTCCTTCTTTCTCTCTCCCTCTTTCAACAAGAATAGAAAGCGTCAGTTAGGTATTTTTCTTTTGTTAAAGTCCAGGTACGATTTTTGTTTGGTCCACAAGTTTTCCGTTTTCGGTTAAATTGTTGCTTCGGGAACGTCGTGAGCGTAACGCGAATGGAGTGTGGGGAAGTGGAAAAACACTTGCGATCATTAGAAAATAACCCGCAACAAAGATTGTTTTTTTTATTAATAATATTAATAATAATATAATAATAATGTTAATAAAATATTATTAATTGCTGATATCTATCTTAATAAATACTCGATAGTTCGGCTGGTAAACCTTTCTTAAAAAGAGTGTTTCAAGTGATAAGTAATACGTATCGGGACGAGTATTCAAGAGGGACGACTTGCATTTTCTTTCTTTCCTTTTCCTGTTCAACGCAATCACCGTTTGCAAGTAAGATGGAAAACAAGGAAGTCGGGAGGCACGTGCACAATGGTAGAAGGTATTACTTTCTTTCTCTTGTTTAAGTCGAGATCGATCAATCCCTGGGTGGACGAGCCGTGAACGCGAAAGTCGCCTCGAACGTGACAATGGAAGGTACATACGCGAGAAAGAACGAGTATACCCTTACCCGTTCGCAGGCAGCTCGACTGGAGCATTCATAAATACTGATATCAAAAATACTAGACCTCGTGATGGAACAGAATTTCCTAACGAGTTCTTCTCTCTTCTCATCCGTTTTTGCATAGAAATCTCTTTCTCACTCTCTCACGCTCTCATTCTTTCTCTCTTTTTCTTTCTCTCTCTCTCTCTCTTTCGCTTTCTCTGTTTTTCTATCTACTGTGCGCGTGTATGTATATTTATACGTGAAATGGGGGAAAAACGCGTCGGCTCTTACAAAACTAAGAATGTACATCTACTTGTAGGTAGAACGACAAACGAGTCGGCCTCAAAAAGGTCGAGGAATGTTCAAACGTAAGCGATTCGCAAAGGGGAATACTTCTATCCATGATCATTTAATGTATAATACAAATTGTTCCAACTTTGAGTACCATCAAACTTAGATTTTCCAATTCTATCGTTGAATTTTTTTGCGACCAACTGTACGCGCGGATCGGCTTAATCTTTTTAACAGACCTGATACTCGGGACCTGATCAACTCGTGTGAGAAATGTCGCGCGAAGATCGGCTCTTTTGTTCGCTTGAGCAGACTTAATTCGATCGTTCCACTAGATTAAAATCGGAGCTAAATATTTTCCGCATTGGTAAATTCGTCTATATGTAGGTACGTAATGGTCCCTAAAAGTTATAATCTATTATATCTCGTATACGACGATCTCTCAATTGTTAACGAGTGTGCGCGATATTATGTAGATTGGACGCTTGTTGACGTTAATAATGGGGATGCCTTGTCGGCAAATCGTACAATATAAATGCAATACGGATTATGTGGAACGCAATTGTAAAATATGAATCAACTCATGCGACATCCCACTTGATTCTGGTAGTTATAAAAAATAAACATGTATATTCCTTGGAAGTTCGTCTACCTTGAAACAATTATCAAAATTGCATTGTGTAAAACACTTGAATCCTTTAAGTTATTACAGTCAGAAGCATTTGAAATATTCTGACAAGCGATTCGTACTGCGTACTGTCTATGACGTTGTGATATAC